TAAGAAATTAAAGTATACTAAACATTACACATTATATAGGCTACACTAATGTGACGTTTAAGCTGTTCGTTTAACTATTAGACGACAGACATTAATACCAATCTAAAAAACACTGTTATACATTAATGTTTAATACTGCATAAAATATTATTAAAGCTCTTTTACACGGATGTCTTAAAGTAAGAACAGTAAGTTATATGAACAGGTAGTGATACGAAAACAGTATTGTTGATGCCTAAAAAAAAATCTACTGAGTTAACAAAAGTGACTTGAGATAGAACAACATGTGTTAACAGTAAACCTGAGGTCATAACAAGTTAGATATTTAAAAGACACTCATGTATTAGCTATCGTCAGATTTTTAACTATAGACAATTACACTGATCTTAGAGCTTTCACTGGACCATATTTGTGACACGTGCTTTTGTAAAGTACAATGTTTATATTAGTTATCACACATGACCACGTGTTTTCCAATCGCGTCGCAATAGTCCTGGATTCAAAAAGTGTTAATTTCTCATTGGTGATCGATGACGTTCAAACTATTAAGAGAAAGCGGCACGCGATGTTTTAATTATACAGGGAACTATATAACTTCAAGATTCCAAAGTGTTTAGTTAATTATAGGTTGTGATACTCCTGATCAATGGACTAGAAATAACCGCAGTTTAATTCTCAACAAAACGTAGCTAGATCTGCCACGCATGTACCACAACTTTCCTACCATATCTAATCCATTAACATTTGTTTTATGGCAGAAGCCACGCCCAGTGTTCTATTCACGTGCCCAAATGGCATCATACCCACGAAAATCGTTTGATTTTCTCAAAATGTAACATCTGCAGATTTCATCCTTCAAACTCATTGAATTCTGAGTCATTGTGTCTGCTGACAACACACGTTGTTAAGAGTGTACATACGTTGTCACATTTCCAAAACAAAATCCAGAAACATAGAAGTGTGTGACTGCCTACCACGTAGCTTTGGACAAGCTATCACATCAGCCTGCCAGAAAATTATAAATTATTAGCTTTTTTATACCTCGTTTTTGGACTTTACAGGCTTTACCAAATTGTTCGGTAAAGGTATAAGCATAGGAAAAAATAGGAAAACAAATCTCAATAATCTGTATATATATATTCAATACATACACGTCACACATATGTCTAATAAATATAGATAACAATTCCTTAAAGTTATGCATATATATATATATTTGATATTTCCACAGAAACTATAATCAAAACCAAGGTGAAAAACATAGCAGCTACAAAGTTCCAGTCAAATACGTGCTGGTGAGTACTTCATAATGTAATTCTCAATGTAGTCAAAACTCTATTAAAACTTGGCTTACTGCATGAAAAGGTAGATGATATGAAATTATTAACGTTCATTAATAAAAACATTTTAAAGAGTATACTAAAAATAGTATTTGTAAACAAGCATTCTAATGTTAACTTACGACCAAAACTTTCCATGCTCTTCCAGCTTTGTCGTTAAATTAATGATAGTGTGCATATGAAATACGTTTTTTCTTCTGAATAGCTATTTATAAGAGAACACATGTAAAGCAGTAAGTCTGAATTGTTTTTTTTTTGTTCTGTTTTCCTCTACCTTAGTTGAAATCTTCTACCGGTGTACAACAAGTAAAGAAATTAAATCACGTACAACATCTGTCAGTCTGTATATGTTTAGGTAATTAGAGAAGGTAACACTGCATTATCTATACGTAACTTCTTCTGCCCGTGAACCTCTGTAAAGTTAAAAACCTCATTATACAGAAATAATGAGAGGCCAGAAGAATGAATGACCCTATCTTGGCCTGAACAACAGCTCGAATAAAGAGTATAATTTTCTCCACACCAACCTCTCCCTACATAAACTGCTTATTAGCATGTTTTCAGTGCAGGAGGTGCATATTACTGGGGAGTATAGAACTTACAGAGCAGGGGAAAAGTAAAAAGAATTAATGTGTCCCACGCCAAAACCAGCTAATCATATAAATATAATTAACACATTTCCGGCTTAGATTGTTAGTTATATATAAAAGTTTATGTTAACCTGGAGCATCACAACTAATAGTTTGTTGTGAAAGTTTTATCTGTAGAAACTTTATTAACGTGCAATACTGGGGCTGAATGTTTGATTATTCGAATTTCTGTTTTCTCTTTTGTAGGGAGAAAACGATAACATAGTCGTACCACACTTAAGTGAGATCAGCGAAGTTTCAACTGGTGCCTCTGATAGGTTTACAACTTTAGTCCTTAATCAATGGATGAGGAATATGTCGAGGAGTTGTCTTGTCACCAGTAGGAGCTGCTTCTGTTCAAAATGTCATGTGTGCATCTTTAAATGAAATATCTTGAATCAATATTATAACAGCGAAGGTACCTAGGATCAACTCATTCAACTGATGATCTACGTAGAAACTATAGCTGATATCTAAGATCAACTCGTTGAACTGATGATCAACATAGAAACTATTGTTGTGTATCGAGAAACAACTCATTCAATTTATCTACATAAGAATTATAGCTGATGTCTAGGAACAGCCTTTTATACTGCTTTGAATTATATTAAGAAGAATTACCGATAGTATAAAGGTTTTGGATTTGCTACAATATTTACCTTTAGCTTGACGTGTAAGAAACTTGAAAGAAGTATAGATTGTAATATTTAAACCAGTGGAGTGACCTTCATCCATGAATATGGCAATATTATCTAATACTTTATGTGTTCTTACTTCTTTAATGTTTACTCTTTACAAATCTAATCATGTCTGTAGAAATACTTTTACAGATGTATCATTTCTTGACCCATATAATTTGATTATGTTTAATGTTGTAAATTACAGTTGTAATTCATATATACTATATAAACATTTTTTCTTATTTTCCAGTTATAGGTTAATTATATTAACATCTAAAACAGTATGACAGTAATGTATAGTATATATATATATATATAGTATAATGTATAGTGTTGTTTTAAAGCAAACTTACACTAGGCTATCTGCTATGCCCACCGCGGGGAATTGAACCCTGGATTTTAGCCTGGTAAGTTTGCAAACTTTTCACTGACCCACCAGGAGAAAGATGTTCCAAACATTTAAAAAAAATGTTTTCCACTCTCAAAGAAATTAATAAAACACCTCAGTCATAACAACAACCTACAGCTCTAAAGATTTATTCGTCTGTTTGTTCGTTCTGTGTTTGTTGGAGTGTTGAATATTTTAATATTAGAATATTTTTTACAAAAATGTACAGACTTAGACTTATACCTTTAGTGTTTGAAATAGTTATAACTAAAATCTCGTCCTAAAATATTGTCCTGAAATTGCTAAATAACAATACTTGTTGTGCTAATTAATCAAATATCCCGTTTGTTTATTAAAAATCAAAATGAAAGAACACTAGAATTTATTTTGGAATCTCATGAGAATAAACATCTCAATAATTCTGATAATATTTTAAATCATATTAATCTTAACTGGCCCATTACGGGTGTCCAGTAAGATGATTGTATGACAGCATTCTAACTGTATTGTATTTGATGTTCGTCATTGTGAACGAGCTTTTTATATTAATATCCATAAAAGAAATCGGGCCTTTTTTGCTTAAGTATTATATATATCATAATTTTAAAGAATACTTATCAGTAAATAATAAAAAGTATAAGTGATAAATATCAACACAGCTAGTTAGTATTCGTTACAATTATCTTAACAACTAATAAATATTATAAAACTAAAACTATTGCACAAATGTGGATGTTATTATAAACAACAAAAATATCGTATTAAATAATAAAGGGTCTAACATTTACCGTTGAATTGTCGCTGTCTCCGACAGCTGAAATATTTATGTCACCTTTCGTTTTTTGCCCCCCCCCCCAGTGGCTCAGCGGAAGGCTTAAGGACTTACACCCCAAAAATCTGATTTCGATATCTATGATGGGCATAGCGCAGATAGCTCATTGTGTGGCTTTTCGTTCAAAAACAAACAAACCCACAAAACTATCGTTTTCATGATATTATAAAATTTATTTTATAAGCATAAAATATCTAGAATCCTTAATTAATACAGAGTAAACAATATTAAACTAAAGATACTTCTATATATATTATTATCAAGTAACAGGGCTTACAGGTCAGTGATTAATATGCACAATTACCATTTTATCTAAGTTCCTGAACTTTCTGGTCATGCACCAGGAGATCTGCTAAATTTGTTGCAGAGGCGTGTGAAGCCTGCCAGTTTCAACAGTTTCTTCAATATCAGCGCCATCTAGTAGAAATAAAATGAACATATATATTATTAGAACAACTCTTAATTTACATTATTTTATCAATAAAAAAGCTAAATAATGAGATTATTTAAGAATTATGTTTCGTTATATCACTTCAAAATTAGGGACAGCTAGCGCAGATAGTCCTTCATTAGCTTTGCGCGAATTTTAGAAAATAAATACAAATCCATTGAACACATCTAACACATATCACTAAATATCCGTAAAACAAAAAGATTCAAACTCAAGAATGCTCAGTTATCTAAACTGTGACTATTATATATGAGGACTTTAAAAAAGCATAACCTTCTAAACTGTTTTATCATCCACAAAACAGATAGCATTCAATATTGGAAATACGTAGCCATATGAAGGGTTTACCTTATCTATAAGAGCAGAACGTTTACATTTAGGAATATGTAAAAGTTCAAAATGTTTGAATACATACGAGTCCATTGTCAGCCGGTGGGTCAGCGACAAGTCTGCAGACTTACAACTCTAACATCCAGCGTACAATGTGTTATCATCCACAAAAAAGATAGCATTCAATACTGGAAATACGTAGTCATATGAAGGGTTTACCTTATCTATAAGAGCAGAACTTTTACATTTAGGAATATGTAAGAGTTCAAAATGTTTGACTACATACGAGTCCATTGTCAGCCGGTGGGTCAGCGACAAGTTTACAGACTTACAACACTAACATCCAGCGTACAATTCCCCACGATAGACGGTTTGTTTGTTTCAGCACAAAGTTACACAATGGGATATCTGCGCTTTTTCCACAACACGAAATCGAACCCGGAATTTTAGCGTTGTAAAGTCATAAACTTATCGTTTACCTACTGGATAATCACTGTGGACAAGAGTGCAGATAGACCATTGCGTAGCTTTGCATTAAGGAAACAACAACAACAACAAAACTATTTCTTTCTTATTTATAAAAACACGTACATGAAGATAATCAATCATTTTTTTTTGCAAATTTCTCTCATTTTTTATCTTAAAATTTCAATAGTGCAGTAATATTTCTTTTCTCTTCTGACGAATTATTTTTTTATTGAAACGTTAAAAAGGCACAATAAGCACTCTTTTGTGACTTGTTTTTATTCCTCTCAACGTTTTTTAAACTAGTAGAGCTTTACTGGAGAAATAAAACAAGTTAATAGAATAAAAACAACGATCCTTAATTTAACAAGTAAGATAATCATTTTTCTTGTTCATGTTTTTTAGCCCTAAGGTACACCATGTGCTATCTGGCCACCACGGGGAATCAATCCCCAGATTTTGGTGTTGTAAGTCTGTAAATTTACTGCTGACCCACCGAAAGAGAAATATTTATTTAAGCTAAATATAAGGAATGCTGAAAAAATACAATCTTAACAGCCATAATCTGTATTTTATTCGAAAAGTTGTCAAAAATATCAAACTATTTATACATCATAAAAGAAAAATATTATTTAGGATTGTGCGTCTGATTTCTTAATAAATACAACTTTTACTCCTGATATTTGTGAACTACTAAATGGAGTAGGTCTTACACCTCACACCCTCCAATAAAAGCTACTTATGCATCACTTAGTGTAGAAACAAGTCGGTAATCATACACCTAGATGCAAAAGGAATTTCGACAGAACCATCATCTATATATATTTCTGTATTTTGTTAAATATTACGTTTGCGTAGAAATTACAATTACATTTAGAAAAGGTGGAAATATATTTTTCGAATTCAAATTATCGAATCGATTTTAAAATCAATGAATTTAATCATAGAAATTAATTTTATTTCACGGCTCATGTATATTTTTGTCCTCTCCGGTGGCTCAGAGGTAAGCTTGAGGACGATAAAAGCCGGATTCGTGGTGGGCATAGTGCAGATAGCACAAACAAACAAAGTTCTGTTATCTTAGCATTAAAAATATAACTCAATATCCGTACAAGTAATTTTTACAAAATTAAGAAGCGACAAGACTAATTATTCCGACGTTAGTCAACAAAATTTGTTGTTTACACACTCTCAGTTTAGGATGTTGTGTTGATAAAAGTCAAGAAACAAAGGTCACGAATCACATGTAAAGAAGCGCGTGCTGTTGAGAGACTAGAAATATGGTTAAGTTATGAGCAATAGTTTTTTCCACTTACGGTATGAAAATTACATTAGTGTATAACAGTATGTATAAAATACCTTACCATTTAATTAATGATACCACTGTATGCCACATGCAACAAAAATAAGCGTGGTCATGAAGGTAATTAATTCATTTATCGGTTAAAACAAATAAGGTTTCAGTAACATTTTTGCCTATCTATATTTATCATTAAATTGAGTACACCTATCTATCTAACTATCGCGTTATAGAACCTATAATGTTAAAGTTACAGGTTCGATCCCCGCAATGTTGTTGCGCTTACCAGCAACAAAAAAAATCCTCTCTAGGGCGTGACCAAGTAGTTATGGTGTTGATCTTTGGATCTTAAAGTCCACAGCTCTTGCTGCGATATGCAATATTCGAACCCATTCCACACCTCTAGCTGTGGGAGCGTTATATCTGTAACAGTCAATCTTTCTGTGCGGTTAAGAATAGTCGCATTTATCACCTGTTCTAATTTAATGGTGGTTAAGTCCGAGTCTTCAAATAAAGTGCTGTTTACATTGAAAATACGAGATTCTCTCTTTTTCTAATTATCATGTTAACTTATCCAGATATATGTTAGTTTGTCCATCTGTCCGTCTAGCTAACCGATTATCTCTCTCAATACCTATCTGGTTATCCCGTCAGAATGTTAATCTAATAAACTATCTGTTTAAATCTACCTATTTTTGTATACATCTGTCCAAACCTATATTGATAGATAAATAGAGATAGATAAGAAAATATGAAAAAGAGAGAAAATTGGGTAGTTAGATAAACATAAAAGACAGAGGTACTCAGCTTCTTCCTCTTCACCTCTCTCTCTATATATTTATTTTCCTGTTTGTTTATTTATTTACTTATATAATTGCCTGTTTTGTTGTTAATTCTATTTGTTTATTCGTGTTTTTCTTTTTAAGCTTTGCATCCATTTATGTTTCTTTAGTTATCTTTCTTTTCTCAACTTGTTCTTCTCTAATGTTCTTTATCCCGCTCTATATATTAATTAATGTATTTATGTATTGTATATACATATTAGTTTAGGTATAATACATCTCTTCAGAGTTATTCAATCTTGATACCAGTCGTTTCTTATCTTTCTTTATATTTTTCGGTTAATGCTAATCTTCATGACAATGAACTACGAAGTCACCGAAACGTTAACAGAATAAAACAAAAGCAAACGGTTGATGTTAAGTTTATATAACTTTGAAGATAATAATGCTATGATTAATGTATTTTAAAAAAACCTATTTAGTGACACACCAGATAAAATTAACTTTAAACCAAAAAACATTAAAACAATTTCATCAAAACCAAATGGTTAAAAAAAAAAACTTAAAATGTATCTCACACTTTAATGTCTTCCTCAGTGGAAACGTTTCG